TTTTTTGGTTTTTCTCCGGTACCAGGAACCGAACTCACGACCTTGCGCTTGCCAGGCAGGCGCTTTTGCCGCTGAGCTAAATACCCAGCCCCCAGAAGCTTATATTGATCCAGCTAAAATGTCTTTTTTGTTGTTTTTGAAAGAGGACTCTGCAGTCTTCTGTGGCCTTGAACTTACAATGTAGCCCAGGCTGGCCTCGATCTTTCGGTGATCCCCCTGCCTCAGTATAGAGAGCCCTTTCTGGTCCGCGTCTCAGTGAGGGAAGTTTGTGTTTGTAATCTCATGGAAAAGTTATTGGAATCTTAGTGAGTTAATTCCAGTCTACTACTACCAGTGCCACCCGTGGTGAGAATAAAAACACTAAGGCATATTTATAGTTGTGGGGAGCCAAGAGGGTCCTAAATCCAGCTATGATGATGGCTAACCCAGAGCTGAACCCAGGTTTTATTAATTCGTGAAGAAGGGAATGCCTTGAGGATGAATGACTAGGGGACTGGCAGGATATGTGTGAGTGCTGTGAGCTGGGCTAGGTAGGAGGCCTGAAATCACCTTTGCAATAGGCAGAGAGAAGGATCTGCAGAAAGAGTAATCGCATAACACAATTGAGGTAGTGTGTGATGTTTTGGGGTGGGTGCTTCAGCTCTGATGTGTAATCTTTATGCCCTGGGAAGTCATAGCCTCTTATCTTGAGGCTTCATCTCAGCCGACAGTGGGGAGCATGGTTCTCCATCCCACCTGGCTCACACATGCTTTTGGGGAGCTATGGGGGTGGAGTGACACTGCCCTGTCACCTTCCTTCAAAGACTACACATCAGCACCTCAGCTGGACCGATTTGTGTTGCTTAAAGCCAATTGAAGGGACAAGGAAAAGTCCTAGCCAGCTCTGTACTTGTCAATACATGGAAACAGAGCCAGGTTTAGCCAAAATGGAGATGAATTGTTCTTCTTTCAAGGAGAGTTGTCCACATGGTCCTCCATACCTCAGCCTCCTGAGTGCTGGGATTATGCACATGTGCCACCATGCCCAGCTAAAGTATCTTGAAGTATACTTTCTCTCTTTTGATAAAAAAGAACAAGTATAGTTGACCTTAATCATGAAACAGATTTTTGAGTTGGTTATTTTGCACAAACAAGCTCTCGGTGGGTCTCTCAGCCTAGTCTATAGTAAAGTTACAAAAAACATCACATTTATTTTAGGTATAAAATAGGTATCGTCAGATACATGGGAAAAAGAAAGAAAATGGACCTTACAAATAATTGAAATGAAAATTTCTGAGGATCTTTGGGCGTGACATTGGTAAATTGTTTTTACAACCAGCTGTAGATCACAATAGAATAAAGAAGGTATGGGGTATTTGTTTCAGGATGAACTGATAAAACTCAAGTTATTGCTAGAGAAGGGCACATTCATTTGAGAGATCAAATGGGGACCAGCAAGCAACTGAAACAAATCTAAAAAAGGGCTGGGAATGGCTTACTGGTCTTTAAATGCTGTCACTTAGGAGAGCAGAAGGTTTCAACATCCCACTCAGTAATCTGCTAGATGACTGAAGTAGTTATCAGTTCTTAGTCCATTTCGGTTGCTAGAACAAGAACCTTAGACTGATAGTTTACAAACAACAAAGATTTATTTCTCACAGTTCTGGAGGCCAAAACGCCCAAGCCGAAGGTGCCAGCAGGTTTGGCGTCTGGCAGGTAGGTGGCGCCTTCTTGCTGCGTCCCCACAGGCAGCCCTGGGCACCGCTCTGGCAGCGGCAGGAACCTCTCACTCACTGAGCGACTTACTCACTTCCCAAAGTCAGCACCTCTGAATTCAGGAGGGACACCAACATGCAGGCCACAGCAAGTTGTTTATAGAGATATTTAAATCAAGCATGCTGTTTCCCACAGCTTCTAGAAAATGAAGATGTTGTAGGAATGGATACAGTGACAAGCATTTAAACATAAATGAAAAGCCCCAACGTTATCACAATTGCAAATTTTCCTGTGAGAAACATACACATTTGTAAAACAAACAAGCAAATAAAAGAAGGCAATCTGAGTAATCAAACTATGACCCCACAGGAGAACTGCAAAGAAGCTCCGTGTCTCAATCTATAGACCTGTCTGCCACCCCTCCCCCAGGTACTTACAGTGGTTTTGATCTCCTTGCAGATACTATGTTTATTCAACACACATCTCAGTGCCCCTGGCTTATCAGTGTACTTGAGGGTAGGGCTTAGTTTTATGGCAGAGTGAGTTGGATTTTCTGCTTTATGCTGAATGTTCCCCGGGACTTCCTGTTCCAGCAAAAGATCTGTTTGTCTTCTTCTCTCAATACTTGAGACTAAATTTGTCCCAGTCTGAGCTCTCTCTTTTTCTGTCTGCCCTGCTTGGTCTTCTCGCTGCCTAATTAGGCCTCGCCAACATCCAGCCTGTCGGGGGAGCTCAGACTCCAACTGATTCTGCCCCTACTCTCCTGTACCTCCTCAGTCATACCACTCCCACCTCATCCCTTCTCTTGCCTGGACAGTCTCCTCCTGGGCTCCCCGCCCCCGCCTACACACTGTCACCTGTCACCTTCTTTGGGTGCTGCAGTCACAACAGTGCTCTTTCAAAACTTAAGATTTCCTGTACCACATGTCCAGCTTCAGCCTGGTACTTAGGTAGGAGGACTCTTTTGGAAAGATGCAGCTCTGTGATTCGGAAGCACACAAGGCCATCTAACCGGTAGCTTCCTGCCTCAGTTGTCACTGTAACATAAATGAGAGTCCGTACCAGGGCTCTGTGGATTATAGTGCACTGCTATTACACAGAGTTCGTGAGAAGTTTGGACTGCACCATGCTTTCTTCATTTCACTTTCCTACGTTGCTTAATTGTTCTCACACATGGTGCCCCCAGTTCTCGCCCGCAGTGCTCGTCCACTATAGGCCTTGGTCGCTCAAATTATTTTCCCCTCCAGGGTCCAGGTTCTGCTCAACTCTCTGGACATCATCAGACCTGAGGGGTCGCTTTGCTCATGTCTTGACATCCCGGAAAGTTCAAAGGTATCCCTCAGGGGCTGGGCTGAGCACTTTTTCTGCTCTCATTACCAAAAAGCACATACTGCCTTCACACTGAGAAAAATCTTTTAACAATGATTTGCAAGGACTGTGCAAATTCCCAACTCCTGTTCTCCTGTGGAAGAGGTTTCAGGTTGACCCAAGTGACCAGAATTAGATTTTATGAACTGATACGGAGGCAACCAGATATAGAGTTAACGGGGAGGGACGACTTTTCATTCTGGTTCTTTTCCAGGTGCCTGCAATTTCCATCAACTTTATCTTCTCTGACAGTGTCCATTCATAGAAAATAAAATAACATGGTAGTGATTCTGATGCAGGGAAATACTGCAACTAGGAAAAAATATTTTTTCCAAATTATACTATTAGTGGGAGACTTCTGGAAGCCTTGGGTTCCATTAAGGACTTTCTGTAAAATGCTGCTTGGACTGAAAGTGTCAAGGTGATTGGACTGAGTATATGGCACTGGTGGCGAACCTATGGGATGTGTGCTGCAGTGGGCTCTTTGTATCACTGAAAGCTCTAAAAGGTTCGCCATCACTGATATATGGGACTATTTAAGTACTGTCAAGCCACTCTCAGCATCATATGGCACCCTGTCAATGTGTACAATTTTTCTTTTTTCTTTTTTTTTTATTTTAGAAATAAAAGGAGGAAAATACTAACAGATCGACAACATTTTACAAAATAGCAAAGGATCAGTACAGACATTACAGAGTTACAAACAGAGTGGTAGGGAATTAACAATGCTTATTGTATTACATATTGATATCTTCAATGTAGTTTCTCATGAAAACACATATAGACATACAAAGCTAATCATACAATTTTTCTATGTCATTAAACATACTTAAAAAAAATCAAGACCAAGAAGTCCTCAAATACAATCATAGATACATGTAGGATGGATAGGTGTTATGTTTGATTCATTGTGTCAACTTGAGAAGTCTAGAAACTTAACAGTGTAACTCAGCAGTTCTACATCCTGTGCTGTAGAGGATATGCCCTTACCGCTCAAGGATGCTGTTCATTGTGTCAACTTGAGAAGTTCAGAAGTTTAACTAAGTGACTCAGCAGGGAGCTAGGGTCCTCACTTTGTAAACATTCTGAGCTTGGGCAAGATGAGGGCACAGAGATGGTGTGAGTGCTACACCCACCCGAGGGCAGATAGCCAGAATACAATATAAGGGAGGAAAAGAAACCCCACCCCATGTGCTCTTGTTGCTTTTGCTGTCTTCTGCAGTCTTGAACTTGTTGCCCTCTGCCATGCCACCCTGCCTTGGAGCCAGCTGATTATGGACTGAACCCTCCACAAACTGTCAGCTAAATAAACCTTTCTTTTCTTAATTTTGGGTGTCAGGTATTTTGTCTCAGCAGTGAGAGAAAAATCACTAACACGATGGGTGACGTTATGGCTTAGATCTGAAAATGTCCCCCAAAAGTTTCATGTTTAGAAGTGGGGCTGTTGGAGGGTGACTGGGTCACAGGGCTGCTACACTCAGCAGGGGATTCATCCATTCAGCCGACTGTGCCGCTAGCAGGTGGAGCCCAGCTGGAGGTGGCTCACTGGGGACCTGACCTGGAAGGGTGCGTTCTTGTCCAAAGCTCCTCCCTTCCCTCTGCTTCCCAGTCGTGCAGTTTTCCTGCACCAGGTTCTTCCATTCTGCCTTGGAACTGGCTGACTGGACTGAACCCACTGCAAATGTGAGTCAAATTAAAGCTCTTTTTTTTTTTTTGTCTTTTTGAGACAGGGTCTCGCTGTGCAGTTCAGGCTCGCCTTGAGCTCACTTTGTAGTCCAGGCTGGCCTCGAACTCACAATGATCCTCCTGCCTCAGCCACCTGAGTGCTGGGATTGCAGGCCTGTGCCACCGTGCCTGGCTCTAAACCTCTTCTTTAAATTTTGTTCCAGTGATGGGGAAGTGACTAATTCAGACAGAATCTAAGAAAAGCTGCCTCAACTCTGATTTTATTTAAATTTCCAACAGCACTTGAGTCCAACAAGGTCTTTTACACATGAGGTCCATTTTCAGATGCTGCTACAAAGTGTGGGATGTAAGCAGGTTCCTCGCCTTCTCTGTCTGCGGTGTGATGCTCTCTCTACCCCTGCAGTTGTACACTCCTTGACTATTCATTTCCCTGTGGCTGTTCTTTAACTCAAAACGGCACTGTTCTGACATCCACTTCCTAATCCTTTTTCACGCAAGGACATCACACATGGGGAGCGCTTGGAGCAGCTCAGGTTTTCAGGGCGCCCGGGAGTATGTCACCTGCAAAGCTGTGCTGTGGCTAGCCTTCCTGTCACCTTACTTCCATGCAGGGGTCTTGAGAAGGTTAAATGAAAGAACGCCCACCAGGACAGGCTACATAACTTGGGCTCAGTAGGAAATGAAAATGCAGGGTAGTTTAAAAACTAAGAATTTTCTGGGGAAGAGGATCTACAGATGGGGAGGTAGGGAGGGGAAAGGGAATAAAAAGAATAAAGATACCTCATGTACGCATACCTGCTTCCCACGAGGAATGTAATCATTACGTACCACAAACCTGCACTAAACGAAAACACACTGCTAAGAACTGCAGACTGGGCCGGCAGAGCATTAAACTCGAGGCATCAGGGAACCCGCCATGAAGAGGACGCTGGGGCTCGAGAGGCTTTTGCACACAGTAGGTACAAAAATAAATGCTCGAGGGTTATGTTTGAGTCCGCACGCTCCGGCAGCGCCCGGGCCCCGGCACTGATTGCTGACTGCTCGCTGCCCCTCGTCCCCGGAGTGCCACAGCGGAGACCGACCCCATCTCTACCCAGCCAAAGTTGCTTGCTGCCCCTCGCCCGCCGGGATGACACCGCCGCGAGGACTGGGTGGCCGCGGCCAGGCGGGTCTTGCAAGCAGCTGGGCCTCGCCTCGCCGCGGCGGCGGTGTTTACCGGTTGCCCAGGAGACGCACGGCCACCCCAGCTGCCTGGCTCCGGGCGGCTCCGCGTCCAACCGCGCCGCAGCCAGCATGAGCCGCCGCGGCGGTCCCGGCTCCAGCAGCCCCGACCTGACCTGCGCCGCCGCGCTGGGCGCCCAGACGCCTGCGCCCGAGGTACCGTCCCGCGCCGGCAGGCCAGATCCCAGCAGGGAGGCGCCCGGGCCAGGCGGCCCCTGAGGGCACAACCCCTGTGCACCCCAGTCCTCCTGGACGCGGGGCGGACCCGCGGCAGGGCGGTGTCTGGTGGGGCAGGGAACTGGGCGGTTGGCTAATTTGAGAAGCAATGGGCAGGTCAGGAGTTTGGAAAGCGCATCTGAATTTTCTTTTTAGGTTGTGTTATGCAACTCCTCTGACCACTCAAAGTGGTTAAATTCGACAGGCAGGCCAGCTCCTGTCCCTGCTCCCGAGCACATATGCAGTTCCTTCCTTAAGTGTCCCACCCCCACCACCCCGCCCCGCCTAGCTGCTGAGACGTGACTGCGAGCATTCTTCCAAAGCGGAGGTGGAGGGAGTCACGCCGGCGCGGGGAAAGGTCTCCAGCCCCGCGTTGCTAACCGTCCCAGAAACAATAATTCAGTTGTCCTTGGATGCGTTTACTCTTGGGAGTTGCTTCAGTTCTGGGAACTTGCAGGAGTCAGGTGTGCTGTGCGCGCGCGCGTGCACACACACACACACACACACACACACACACACACGCAGGAAAAATTCTGTCTGTTCAGCCTGGACTGAATATGCACCACCTCTGACCTGGCTCTGCCCCCCAAATATCTTGTGTGTCTGGAGCGTTTGCCAGAGAAGCGAGAATTGTGCTCACTAGAACTGCTAATGTTAGAGGTGCCCTCAGCGTATTTATATCCCTGGGGATGTTAGACCCAAAGCAGGGGGGTTGGATTCCCCAACACGCTACCGGAATGAATACTATTCAGCACCTTTGACTGTTGCCTCACATCCCTACATTTAGATTTCCCCGATTCCTGATGTATTTGTGGAAAAGTAGTACCTTTATGTACAAATAAAACTAATTTTCCTTCCATCTGGGGTTTTCGTATGTAACATTACATTTTATCTCAATGTGGTGAATATTCTTTATAAATGAAGACTATCAGCCTATATATAAGGAAGTAGGAATTGCCCGGCATGGGTGCAAACCTGTAATCCCAGCACTGGGGAGGCTGAGACAGGAGGATCATTACAAGTTTGAGGCCAGCCTGGGCTACAAAGTGAGCTCAAGGCCAGCCTGAAGCAAGACTTATTTTTATGTTATTTATATATTTTTGGTGAGCCCAAAGTAAATGTTAGATATCATAACCCTTCTACCCTAACTACTCTGGTGTGTATTATCTAAGAATAGGGAATTTGCTAATCAAAAGAACAGTGATTGAACTCAGAATACCATATCTAGCATTTTTACAATAACTTGTTCACTCAAATAGTACATCATCTACTTAAATTTGCCAGTTATTCCAGTTCTGAGATTTTTGCAACATTTTTTCATTCCAAAATCACATATATTTAGTGGTTACACATCTTGTTTCTGTTTTAAAATTAACTTTATTGGTACATTTTAGATGTACACAGTGACAACATTAATCATAGGAGACTTGTGTCTGTACATGACCTGTCATTTTTCTCTTCTTCTTCCCTCCCTTCCACGCCTCTTCCCCTCCTTATTTACAAAAGCTTTGTTTCCCTTCTTTCCTTTTATTCTTTTCTTCCTCTTTTTCCTCCTTTTCCCTTCCTAGTTCCCCTTTCCACTTGAACATTTTCTTCCTATTTCACAATATCTAGTATAAATTTTGGACCTTATTTACACTTACAGTTTCTCACACCAGAGAAACCGTGTTATATTTGAACACATGTGTCTGTTTTATTTCACTTAAGAGTGTGGTCCAAGGTGTAGCCATTTACCTAGGAATGTCTGAGGTTTATCCTTTTTTATGGCAGAGTAGTACTCCACATCTTCTTTATTTATTCATCAGTTGATGGGCATTTGGGCTCTTTCCAAGATTTAGCTATTACAAACTGCGCTGCTATAAATGTGAGTGTGTGTATATCACTGTGGTATGATGCTTTTAATTCTTTTGGGAAGATACCAAGAGGAGGTATAGCTGGGTCCAATGGAACATCTAGTCCTAGTGTTCTGAGGAATCTCCACACTGTTTTCCACAGTGGTTGCACCAGTCCACACTCCCACCAACAGTGGAGAAGGGTTCCTTTATCCCCACAGCTCCTCCAGCATTTGTTACTGGTTGATTTTTTTATGATAACCATTCTTTCTGGGGTGTTGTTTCAATTTGCGTCTCTTGAGTGACCAGTGATGCTGAGCATTTTTTCATATATTTATTTGCTATTTCAACTTGTTCATCTGAGAAGTGTTTATTCACTTCAGATGCCCATTTTTAGATGGGATCTTTAATTTGGAGGGTCTAATCCTTTTGAGTTCTTTAGGTACTCTAGATATTAGTTCTTTGAGGGACAGCTGACAAAAAATTTTTCCCACTCTGTGGGTTGTGTCTTTGCTGTGCAAAAGCTTTTCCCCAGTTGTTTATTCTTTATGATGTTTTCTATGTGATTGGGGTTTGTTCATAAAGTCGTTGCCTGCACTTACACCTTTAAGACTTTTACCTGTTCTATCTTCCAGCAGATTTAGTGCTTCTGTTTTAATTTTTAGATCTTGGATCCATTTTGCTTTTAGTTTAATGCATAGTGAGAGATATGGATCTAGGTTTAACTTAGGCATGTAGAAAGCCAGTTCTTCCAGCACCATTTATTAAAGAGGCTATCTTTCTTCCAGTGAAGGTGTTTGGCCCCTTTTTTGTCAAAGATAAGGGGCCTGAGTATATTTGGAGTTGCTTCTGTGTCTTCTAGTCTGTTCCATTGATACTCATATCTTTTTTTTGTCACTACCATGCTGTTTTTATCACTGTTAGCTTTGTAGTATAATTTCATGTCAGAGATTGTAATGCCCCCGGCTTGCCTTTGTTTCCCAGAATTCTTTTGCTATTCTAGGTGTCTTCTGGTTCCAAATACATTTTAGATTTTTTTCTTTAATTTTATGAGGCATGGTACTGGTATTTTGATCAGGATTGTGTTATATCTGTACAACAGTTTTGGGGAGTATGGCCATTTTCACTATACTAGTTCTTCCTACCCAAGAACTATGAGTATCTTTCCATTTTCTGTTATCCCTTTGTTGTTTTTTTAGAGTACTGTAGTTTTCATTGTAAAGGTCTTTTACTTCCTTTGTGAGATTGATTCCTAAGTATTTCATTTTTTTCCATGCAATTGTGAAAGATGTGCTTTCTGTAATCTTCCTTTAGGTGAGTTTGTCATTGTGTATAAGAATGCTATGGAGTGCTGACCTTGTATCCAGCTATGCTCCTGAATTTGATTATTAAGTGTAGAATCTTTGGAGTTTATGAGGGTCTTCTATATAAGTATCTTGCCATCTGCAAAAATTATAATTTAACTTCTTCATTTCCTATCCTATTCCTTTTATTTCTTTCTCTTGTTTAATTGCTCTGATTAAAGTTTTAAGAACTATATTAAATAAGAGTAGAGACAACAGACATCCTTGTCTTGTTCCTGATTTTAAAGTAAAAGTTTTCAGTTTTTGACCGTTTAGTATAATGTTGGCTTTTGGTTTGTCATAGATAGCTTTGATTAGGTTGAGATAAAGATCATCTATTCCAGTTTTGTAGGGTTCTTTTTTTTTTTTATCATGAATGGGTGTTGGATTTTGCCAAATGCTTTTCTGCATCTATTGAGATGATCATGTGGTTTTTGTCCTTGGCTCTGTTAATATGGAATGTTACATTCATTGATTTGCATATGTTGAAGCATCCCTGCATCCATGGGATGAATCCTATGTGGTCATGATGTATGATCTTCCTGATGATTTTGCCCTCAGGGCAGAAAATTTAAAAGCAGTTAGGGGAAAAAATAGAGAAATAAGAGAAAGGGATTAGAAGCCAGTCTGGAAGCCGGGTGTGTTGGTGTATGCCTGTAATCCCAGCACTTGGGAGGCTGAGGCAGGAGGACCACTGTGAATATGAGGCCAGCCTGAACTGCATAATGAAACCCTGTTTTTGGTGGACATCGCTGTCTCAAAAAAGACAAAAAGCAGAAGCAAGTCTGGAGGACATGCCTGGAAAGCTTGAGGTCGTGAGTTTGATTCCTGGTACTGGAAAAGAAAAAAAATTAAAAAAAATTATGTCTGGAGGACAAAGGAAGATTATGTGAGCTTTGGAAACTGGTGAAGAAAGGGAGGGAATGACAGAAGAAAGAAACAGAAAGAAGAACAGAACAAAAGAACAACAACAAAAACTAGGAATAATGTTCTCACTTGTATAAAAACAAGAACAATCAATCAAAGAGGAAAAAAATAGAAAAAAAAGCAAAGAAAGGAGAAAAGCAGAAGAAAATGTCCATGTCAGAGCATGTCTGTGCTGTCACTGGTGGCCAGAGGGGGCAGAGAGAGCCCAGGTCCATGTTGATTGATCCCAGCAAGTCAGCAGTAGAATCATGGCAGCGATGGAGAATCCCAGCAAACTTGGGCCTTTAGTTCCACCGAAGTTCAGGCTGCAGCTGGTGCTGCTTGTGAGGCTGGGACCTGAGTTGTCAGCCCACAGCACTCCAAGTGCCTCCTGCTGTCTTGAACGTGGCTCCCTGATATTCTGCTGGCTTGAACTCCATTGTTGTGCTTTACCCTGACACTTGGAGTCACTAGATGGAGCCAGCCCACAACTCCGTTGAGTTCTGACTTCTACTGGCCCCTGTCCAAAATGGCTATGGGCCATTGCCCTCTCCTGGGGGACATCTGGATTCAAATAACTCACCAGCCACTGCAGTCCACAGCATACACTGCTCTGTCCCGCTGGTGTGTTACTCTTTGGAGGCCTCTGAGGTTACCAAGAGTTACCATGCCTCTGCAGGTTCAAGCTGGCCCTCCCACGCCAGGGGCTGGGACTCAGGGAGAAAGTGCCACCTGCTGCCTCCCTCTTCTGTGCTGTGGTCTCCCTCTTCACTCCCCCCATGGCCTCTAACTCTCTTCAGATCCTTGCTGGGTCCCAGGGACCTGCTGCCTTCCTCTTCCTCAGGTTGCTTTATTCCAG